AGAACGATTTCTCTTCTTGCACTAAATGAATTTGTCTGCGTGGTTGAAAATAACAGTACAATAATATATATAATCTCCACATTTTTTTTCCATGCTTGTGACCTCCAGAAGCTCATGCATTATCTGTATGTACATACTTAGCAGTATAACATCATTTGGACTTCCAAACAAATCAAGAGAGGACTGAAATTTCAAGAAAGCATAAGACTCGGTAAAACAAACAAACCCCTCCCATCTTCTCAATGTGATTAGCGATGTACTTTTCTGGTTCTTTCAATGTCTTTGAAATGGAAAATCCCAGGAAAGTAAAAAATTGATAGCTATCATATAAGTTAATTAACAGCTATGGCCAAACTTAACCTCAGTTTTCAAATTTGACAAATTAACAGCTTGAAACTCCGAGGAAGTTAATCTTTAGTCTTAAATAGTTGTGTTCAACTCTTATGAGGAAAGAGTCAATGTGCGACTGTCAGCATTAGTCACTCGTGGAAATGTACCCGGAGAACCGCAGATCTAATTGTACACGGCGCCTTGCAGTTCCCCGGGTGCAACAGAAACGACAAATGTTGCACGTCTTTTACAGGCTGCAGAAGTTGGTGAGGTTAGGATCTAAGTGATGTCAGTATCATCAAATAGACCAGGCTGGCTGCTTAGGTCCAGCCTAAGTCTCATTAAATGGGAGTCTTTCCAGTAACTTCTGGGAGAACAGGGCGTTGAACGAGGACCGCCACCACCATTATTGTCACAATGCAAAAATGACTTACATTGTGTCATGGAGTTTTTATCGGTGGTCCCAGAAGTAGACAGTACATGAGAAATCATTTACCCCTTGAGACAGTAGCGTAGCAGCTTAGGTCCAGCCTAAGTCTCATTAAATGGGAGTCTTTCCAGTAACTTCTGGGAGAACAGGGCGTTGAACGAGGACCGCCACCACCATTATTGTCACAATGCAAAAATGACTTACATTGTGTCATGGAGTTTTTATCGGTGGTCCCAGAAGTAGACAGTACATGAGAAATCATTTACCCCTTGAGACAGTAGCGTAGCCCCTAGGCAGCAGGTGGGGAAAGGATGCGCTCTCTATAGAGTTCATACACCTTGCCTCGAAACCCGCCCTTTGCAGCGGGAAGCACTGAGGATCGCCTACAACGGGGGCGTCACCAAGAGCCAACCTCCAGCAACTCCCAGCGCCAAGGGGAAGGACGGTGCTGCCGCTTCACGGCCAAGCTCATAGCGCAGTCCGCAGCCCTGAGGCATCAGCATAAACTGACCACTTCTCGTCAGAGACCAACGCTTCCTGAACATCGCCTCATCAACGCGCATTTTCCGAGTCAACCAAATCCACACTAGTGATTTGCTGCTGTTTCCCACGCGTTCTCCTATGTGTTTTCTTCAGCCAGGAAAATAAAAGCTGTACAATTCCATGATGAAAGGCACCACTCTTCCACTGGAGCATGTGGCAAAAATTACGATGAGGGCAGCTGTTAAATAATCTGTATGCCTATCAAACGTACCCTTCTTTTTTCCCACTGACCAGAAGGCTACGTTACTTTGGGTACGTGAATGGCTCTTGCCTGGAGCAGCCACAGTTGTTTCCTTCTGACACTGTATAAATTAAATTGCACAGAATTCTGCTCCTATACTTGAACATCGAGCTGCTGTTACACATTTTTATTTATACACACAATTTATACACATTATGTGTATAAATTAATGAGAATAAACAAAATGGAGAAAAACAGAATTATTGTATTCCTGTTTCAAAGAGGCATGATAGCTTTTTCCAGGATCATTATGAGTATCTGTAATAGCTGATGTATTTTGTTTTCTCTTACAAAGGGATCCTTCTTTTCACTACTCAAATACATAAGCTTAAGTCGGTTCTTTCCATGAGTATATTGGGAAAATACCATAATGAAATGTAGCATATTAATTGTCATATTTTAACCCCAGCCAGCAACTGAGCCCCATGCAGCCGCTCACTCACTTCCCCCTGCAGTGGGATGGGGGAGAATGTGAGAAGAGTAAAAGTGAGGAAACTGGTGGGTTGAGATAAAGACAGTTTAATAGGGAAAGCAAAAACCCTGCACGCAGAAGCAAAGCCCAACAAGGGATTCATTCCCTGCTTCCCACCGGCAGGCAGGTGCCCAGCCGTCTCCAGGAAAGCAGGGCTCCATCACGTCTAACGGTGACTTGGGAAGACAAACGCCGTCACTCTGAATGTCCCCCCCTTCCTCCTTCTTTCCCCAGCTCTATATGCTGAGCATGATGTCATATGGTGTGGGATGTCCCTGTGGTCGGTTGGGGTCAGCTGTCCTGGCTGTGCCCCCTCTGAGCTTCCCCTCCTTGCTGGCAGGGCAGTATAAGAAGCTGCAAAGTCCCTGACTTAGTGTAAGCACTGCTCAGCAACAACTAAACCATCAGTGTGTTATCAACATTGTTCTCATCCTAAATCCAAAATACAGCGCTATGCTAGCTGCTAGGAGGAAAATTAACTCCATCCCAGCTGAAACCAGACACTAGTGAAAGAATTTATTGAACTTCTCAATTTTGACTTATAGCTTAAAGGAAGGTTGTTGTTACAGTACTTACTCTGTTGAAAGGAGGATGAAAAGTTATAGCTGTAATTCCTTGATGAAGTAAGATTTATGAAACGCATTTGGTTGTTTTTTCAAATCTTGCACGGGTGTCAATGGTTCATCACTCGTAAAATGCACACTACTGACATCTTCTGTATCTAAAAGGCAGCAATTATGTGTTATCTTACATGTGTGTTCTGCACAAGCGAACAGTAATAGTAATGTCAACACCTTAATTTTAAAAGACAATCCAGAATCTGAAACACATATAAGTAATAGCAGAGAGGTCATGGTCTCAATATTTGTTGGTCAAACAGCAAATATAACTGCTGAGTAGAGCAGTCACATGCTTGCTTTGAATAATTTCACTGAGCTTCCGAATAAATAAGAGGATACTCATTAGGCTGTTAATGAACAGCACAGTCAATTAGTCTGATTTTGACAAAGCCTGCTCTGGTATGCTTCGCTGCCAGCAGCTCAGACTATTTATGCAATATACTACCTCCAGGATATACGAAGTAAGCTCCTACATTGTGGTTCATGACAACAATTTAAACCTTAATCAACACTGTACATTATTAACAGCTATGTAAAACATGCCCAAATAAAACCTACAAATTAATTGCCTCTGAAGGCTGCAATCTACAATGCATGCCACTGAGGAACTGATTACTGACAACTTGCGTATTTTGACCCATCGTATCCTCGACAGTCTGTGCATTGTAACTCATTTCCTGCCATAATCAAGACAGGTAGCATGCCTCAGAAATGACAATGAGAATGTATCAGCAGTGTCAGTTAAATCCACCAATATACCCATCTGGTGTGCCCCTGCTACACTGCAGCTGGGACCTCCCTCAACTCTTTGAGAGGCTGTAGGCCAGGGCAGCCATCCATCACCTGTGCTCACAGGAGCCATGAGACACACTAGGCACTTGCCTCATGGCAGGCACAGTACGTCTCGCATTTCCACACCGATTTCACAAAGTAACTGATGCAACTTACAGATCACCATCAACAGCTAGTGACCACAGATGGGGAACATCCACACAGCACAGACACTGCAATATGCAGAAAAATCCAGGCTGCCTGTGACACCATGCTTTGCTTTACTCAAAAGGGAAAATTATAGGTATCACAGAGTCAGTGGACTGAATCTTTTCTGTCTTTTTAAAGAGAGTTCAGTAAACTCAAACTTAAAACTGATTTTTCAGTGCACTCACTTAATCCCAAACACTTTTGACAGGAGGAATAACACAAACTCCATCTCATCTCTTAACACGGGAATTGCTCTGGTCTTTTCTGAATTTTGCAAAGCTAGCTCTCGCAGCGTTATAAGCACGCTGAAAGCAGCTGTACTAGTCCGTTCTAGGTAATCACCCGAAGCTGGTTTTCTTTTCCCCCCGCATTTGCTACCCCACTGCTCAGAGCCGTACCTTCAGAGGGTTACTACAACCGGCTAAAGAGCGGCTGGAACACGACCACCCCAGGCCACCACCAGCCCCCCTGTCTCCCAGCACTCTCCCTCAGTGACCAAGCCTGGGCTGCCGAGGGACAGGAGGTGCCCCTGCCCGCCCTGAACAACGACCCAGCCCCGTAACTGCCCCATGCCGGTTACTGCGCTGCCCGCCCTCGTCCCGCACCGCTCCCCGTCCCCGGGGGCCGGGGCCGGGGCCCTGCCACAGCCGCCGCGACCCTTGCTGAAGCAGCTCGAAGGGCTGGCTAACCAACGGCT